TGAATTATTTTAATTAAAAAATTACTTAAATAAAATTTATTTTTATTATTAATTAATATAAAAAATATATAATAACTACATTCATAATATACATTAATCACAAATTTAAAAAAAGTTATTAGTAAAATTAATCAAACCAAATGCAACCCCCGACCTAAAAGGTAACTTCAACGGTGAGGAAAGAGAAACTTACCCGAAATGTGCGTCGGGACACTTGTCTACAGTTCAGTTCCAGTTTCAATGAATCTAACCCGAAAAAAAAGTTTTCGATCAGGAACGTCCGTAGATGATCGTACGGTGAAAATCGCTCCACGCGTCACAGAATCCAGCTTTTTGCTTATTTTCCTAATTCGTCCTTGCACCGGAAAACCCGCTTGTTCTTTTTCTGACCGTCCCTGTAATTGAGATTGATTTTCTTCTTTTTTTTTTTTTTTTTAACCCGCATTTTTATCGACCATGACAAAAAAGAAAAAAAAACGCGATAACGTAACCGGAAGTGTTTTGTTTTTATTGTCACAGACGGCGTTGTTGCACTCCATCTGTATTCAACAATCCAATCGGAAGGTGATAGGACGGGCTGTCACGGGGGTTCACTACGAAAGTCGTGTGCCAGTCTGTGTCGAGAAAGTTTCTAGAATAATTATGGGATTAAATCAAAAGTTTTACTGGAAGTAGTACTAGCAGCAGTAGCAGTTCCATGTCGTTAATTTTATGTAATTTTGTTGACTTTCATACGCGGGAGGGTAGAATTCTCCTTACTCGTTTTTGTCAATGACTTAATGTTGAGAATCCTACGGGAATTTCTTTTGTGTAATCATTTTAAGATTTGAAGATTGGCAAATATCTTTAAATTTGACTTGAAAGATTCATATTTTTCTAATCTTTACATTTTAGTCTTACCTTCAGTACTTAAAAATTTTGATTTTTTAAATGTATTATAATAATATAATACGTATATTTAAATTAGTAAGTAAATATATATAAAAAAAGAAATCACTTATTCCTATCCATCCTTCAATTTCACTTGAAATTTATTGGGTAATGATTTTTTAAATGTATTATAATAATATAATACGT